TGGTCCCCTTCAAAGTAGTCCCCCCCAGATATAATACACTTATGCCAGCGTTTTTTCCAATTTTCGAAGCACCCTTGATATTCACTTTTTGATATGTCCTTGAGCACTCTCAGCGATTTTCTTCAATCGAGGAAAACCGCCGTCCTTTCATGGGTCTCTTCAACTTTGGGAATAGGAAAAAGTCACACGGAGCCATATCTGGTGAATTTTTGCACTTTGCAACACTTTATTTCATTTTTTACGCAAAATTTAATACAAATTCTTTGACTTTTCAATTCTTCCATTGTAAAAATCGCCGAGCTCAGAAAAACACGTCGAACCTTAGCGACTACCACAGACAAAGTAAACAGTGAATATAGCTGAAAATTTCATCATACTTTAGGGGCATGTATACCAACACAATAAAAAAAAAATTGACAATCAGACACTCCAGACCCGCGAAATTTAATTAATAGTAATTCCGGGTACTTTTTGAACAGACCTCGTATGTTCAGTATAAATTAGGCTGACCTTTATGCAAATGATTTGAAGTAACATCTTACCTTAATATGTTTTATGGTAATGCTCTTAATAGAATAATTTGTACTACCTAATATAAATTTATGCTATTGCAACATTTATAGAAAAATCGAGTCATGAATAAAAAATGATATGAGAAGGGTTATGTTTCTCATTAATTTGGAATGCAGTATAGTAGAAACTATAAAATGGTTTAAGTGATTGATTTATTTTACCATTTTTTTCATAATTTACGGGCGAGCAGAGCTTATAATTGATATTATAGTCACGTTAAAATATGCACTAAAAATTAATGAAGACTTCTGACATATCTTATTCGAGAACACGCAAAGCTTGCCCTGTACAAGTAATTTTTTATCTGTACTTAATTTTTTTATTTTTGGTTTTAATAACTACTTATAATTAGTATTTTATATTATGGATTTCTAGAATGGTATTTTCTAAGTTCAAGTTCTTTTGGATGTACTCCTTGGGCTATGTAATAATAGAATAAATAAAATAAAATCGCGCACTTCTACTATGGATATATATGCACTATAACTATTTCTATACACTACTCCGTAGGCTATGATTTATAGGCATACAGATATAAATCGAAATCTGAATTTGATTTGTGAAATGAATGGACGTACTCGCCTACTTTATTAATATGGCGTGGTTCCAGAAAACTGATTTATATTCTTATTATACTTGACATTATGCCGGGCCGGATTTTCATAGAAATGCAACGTGTTAAATGTTTATATTATATAGAAACAGTATTGTTGTGAAAATGGATTATTTAAACTATTTAGTAACATTTGAAACTATCAAAGCCCCTGGAGTATTTAATTATTGAAAAATGTTTTTTAATATAACATCTTATTCAATTTGATCCATTATTCAAGTCCTGAAGATGTATAAGTATGTGCAAGACAAAATTTTACCATTTCTTTTTTGTCATTAACACTAAACATACCATGACGGGTCAAATGACCCATTTTGAACTTTTGCATTTAAATGCACGTATAATTTCATTGCGTTTGCACATTTGACTTCATGACTTTTTTTAAGTAATTAAAGTACAGTTATAAACAATTTTTTTTTCTTGTTTTGTTTTGTTTATTCTGAGTTATCCTTCTTGTATACCGATATCTACCACAATGGGTCGTTTGACCCGGAGAGAATTTTTTAGTTTATGAGATTGTCGAGTCATATTTGTAGTCGGTAAGTTGCACATTCTTCTAAACACTGTTGCGTAAAGTAGTTCAACGAAAATAGCTCAGAATAATTTCAAGAAAATATCAAAAATTTTAGATTGACAATAGCTTTTTATTGTTAGGAAAAGTGACAGAAATTGAAAGTCTTGGTAAGTACCTAGCTTATATTTTATTTTGATAGCTATAGTAATACAGGTTATTTTTTACCCGGAAAAATGTCGAAGCAAACAAGACATTACAAGTTCTTAGAAAATATAAATAATATTGGCGAAGAGTTTTCAGAAATTAGTGAAGATGAATTTTCTGAAAATGGAGATATACTGGTTGAAAATGAAAATGAGTTTGATTCAACAGATACCGATGATAAAGAAAACAATTCATATTACAATAAAACCAAATTTGGTGTAGACATGACCGATCAAATGGCGAGAAAATTTACTACAAAATCCAAGTCTTGCAGATGGCCTCTCCTAGTTTTTTTTTCAATATCCTTGATTTAGCTAACATAAATGCCTGGATTTTGTACAAGCAAACGACAGGAGAAAATATCTCGCGACAAGATTTTTTACTCAAGCTAGTAGAAGAACTTGGCGCCGATTTTCGAGAAGTCCGTGAACAACCAAAACAAGAAAAAATACGAAAATATCGTTGCTTAAGTCTACTACAGATGCTTATAAACGTATGAGATGTCGAATAGAATACTGTAAAGAAAATAAAACCAACAAAATTTGCTCTAAATGTAAAAAATATGTTTGCGGAAAATGTACAATGATACGATTAACTATGAATTAAAATTTTTTATTTTTGCTTTTGTAATAGAAATGCTCAACATACTTTTTTGTTTAATTATAATAAATTTAATTTTTATTTTTATTTTCTTCCTAACATCCATATTTAATACATTCAAGCATGAAACATAGAGTCGGGTCATTTGACCCGCTATGGTAGAATTAGGTATATATTAAGTCTTGGTATGATTAGTGTTAATAAATAAATTTATTAATGAAAACGTTATTTATAAAACTATAGATATAGTTAGCTTTATTTATTCAATGAATATCCATTCTTTCTCTTTATTGTATTATATTTGACTATTACTGATGGTGGAAAGGTTACATAAGTATTGGTACCATTCTGATAAGGATGAAACTCTCAGGAAATTTTGATGTCAAATTGAGGAAACTTTCAAATTCTTTCAAAATTATATGAATCATCATGAATAAGTTTTTTGTGAATAATTTATTTACAAATATATATTTTTTAAAAATAATTTTTTATTTCAGATTACTTTTCTAATAGTTTCCACCTCAAATCCTGCTCCTGGACCTGGATGATAGACCATACAGATCTAAGTAGTTTATCATGTTGCTCAGAAGAAGCAGACTATACCTCAATGTTGCAATTTCAGTGCTTATATATTTTTTTGGTTGAATGTAGTTTCTAAAGGAAAGTATTTATATAAATATACCTCTGGTTTAGTTCTAAAAACCGTCTGCTCAATATAATGATAACACTGAAATTTGGAACATATTAATTCATTGGAAAAAACGCGATTTAATTTGTTTAATAAGTTTGTGTAAAACAATTCTACGTTCAGGCACAAATATGTGAAATATTCAATAAAAATGTATGATATCAACAAATCTGAGATTTCTTTTAACATGTTGAATTTTATTTATTTATTAATTAATATCATTAAACTTACATTTATTCAGTTATGATAATTGTTTAATAACATGAGGTAATTGTCGTTTTGTTGTTGGTAGTTTTGATTTCAAACTATAATCCTATTATTTCATATCGTCAATATTATCATATCCTTAATTTTTAATTTTTTTTTCAAACAGTAAAGATGAATGAACAAGCTATAACATGTTCGATTCGTTCTGAATCAGATCTTTCAGTATGAAACTAAATGCAGTTAATTTATTCATTGTAACTATTGTAAACGAATAAATTGAATTTGAATCTAGGAGTAAGTGGCAATTTGCCTCAAGAGTAGTTGCATTAACGTTACGATATAATAGGTAATAAATGAGACAAAATTGAGTATTAACTTATGAATTTTTTCCAATAAAATTTTCAGTAGAAATACTTTAGAAAAAAAGAAAAAAATATCTGTAATATTTAATAGTTTTCGAAAGGTTTTTAAATACCAAGAATAAATACGTTTAGTCAAAAAATTCGTCATAGAATAACTAGAAGATTACCATGTCAGATTCTCATTGACCCTAAATGTATAAAATTAATGCATGTTTAAGAAAATATATATAAAGGATAAATATTTATCATAAGAGTTTCAAGAGTATACCCTGATGGTAGATTCTCGGTGGCTCTATCTGCATATATTTCCTGCATATTTTAGCAATGAAAACACAAGTTCCACTTTCTAAATCACTATTTCTTGGTTTTTAACAGTAAGAATTAATGTTACTCCGATTCAGTTAAAAATTAAGTATTTAAACATTTTCAAAATAATCTCTAAAACGTTTGACCAGGGCTAATTATCAAGGGATGATTATTGGTTAATAAGAGTTAAGAGTGGCAGACGATGTAATGAACTAACAGTATAATGCATTATTCACTAAATTTTAATAAATATTTATATTAATAAGTTAAAAAAGTATAGAAATTATTTCTGTACATTATGTGTGATGTATATTTAAATCGGCAATGTGTTTGTTGATTTATATTTCGATTTGATTGCATATTCATTAAAATATAATATTATCTAGTATATTCTTGTTATTCATGTATTATTATAAAACATAATGTGATTGTAATGTTAAATTTAGTTTCAAGTACCCGATTGTTAAAATTCATTAATTTTTATTTCAAATTTTGCGCCATTATTTTGAATGCTGAAAACAGCGCCATCACGTCTGAGCGGAGGACCCTTTAAGTATCCCTTCTGAACGTAAAAATCGGGAAAGAGAAATGTCTTATGTGAATAAATCATATTCTCATATTATCTAGGGTACAAATTACTGTGACGCGGATTAAGTTAAACATTAATTATTTAAACATTTTCAAAATAACCTCTAAAATATTTGACACCGCTTTTGTGTCAGCTGAAGTTGTGTTGTGTTATCCACAGATGGCAACACTGTTCGTACGTCAATATGACGTTTACGTCAGATCTATTGGTCAAATAGTAATGTTGAATTAGAAGTGAATCGATATGGAGTCGTAACACGAATCTTTTAAATTTATGAATATGTGAAATATGCATTATATGAAATAGTGAATGTAAATATTATGTGTAGGATAGTAAAGGTATTTTCCGTGTGGTAATTTGTAGCAGTCACGATGAACTGTCATCAAATATTAAGTGGTGCCTGTAATGCAGGAGATCGATGTTTTGCTGTTGGTTCTGTCGAAGGAATCCCATTCACGGTATTGCACAATTAATAATAACATTCATAAATGTTTTATAAATATTTTCAAATGTTGTAAGTTTTTGCTACGTTGCCATCGTTTCCTATGCCTATCCATATAGAGCAAAAAAATTAATCAGCTGACTACACAACACATTCATAGATTAATATTGTCTTAAACAAACACAGATATATTTACATATTGTATTGTAGTTAATTAATATCGCGGCGATATAGCTTTCCTATTGTCTGAACAAACTTTTTAGAATATTGTTTCTTGAAACTGCTTTTTTAAAGTATTAATATGCTTAATTATATTGTTGATATAAATATATTATGTTTATAATAGTCTTTCAAGACTATAGTCTTGCTTCTTAAAAGTTGTTTTTTAAACTAATTGAAAATAAATTAACGATTAACATTGGAAAATTTTAAACAAAAAAAATGTAAGAAAATTTCTAAAATAAACGTTAAAATAAATAATACACACATAGAAGAAGTGGATTACATAAAATACTTGGGCCTTATAATACACGAAAAGCTAACATGGTTCGAAACATATAAATGAAATTAAATCGAAGATATCGGCAATAACAGGAGCTTTGAAAAGGATCCACAAATAGGATACTAATTTTGAAAGCGCATATAATACCCTTAATTTCATATGGGATAACTACTTGGAGACAAACAACTAAAGCTAACTTAAATGATATACAGATAACAGTAAACAAAGCTATAAAAATATCATATAATTTTGTACATTTAACACCCACTAAATACTTACAGACAGCAACCAATACTCATTCACTAAACAACATAATTAGAATAGAAAAATGCAAATTAATACACAAAATGAAATATAACAGAATTAAAACAAGTACAACAATAGACATAAAATTTTTACATCAAACATAATAGAAAGAAGAAATTAAGAAAAAATGTCTTATGGAGCGCAAGTAAAATATTTAATGAACTGCCAATCGATATTAAAAATACCAGCGATGACAATAATCTCAAAAGAAAAATAAAGAAAAGTTATAAAGAAATTGAAGATTGAATAAATATTTAAGATATAATAAACATTATATTATTGTAGAATGAAATAGACAAATGATATGCATATATAAAATATGAACATTGTTTTATAATCTTTCATACCAGACACCCCTGTCTAACTGAGATATGAATTTAATATATAAATAAATAAAAAAAATATAATAAATAAAAAAAATAGAAAAAAATAAGAAGAAAAGATCTTGCTTTCTTTGTTTTTTCAAGCATTTATTATGAATCATTGTTAAAATAAATATAGTCTATTTACAACATGTTTTTAAATACAATAGCTATGTCACAAAATTTATAAAAATTGTATACATTATAATTATAAAATATTCTATTATATTCTAGGCATATGCAGCAGGTTGTAACATTGTTATTTTGGCCAGCACTTTTGAACGTGTCCAAATTATTCCTGGAGCTGTTCACAATTATATTCGAATATCATCTCTCGACTGTAGCACAGACACTGGCAAAATAGCAGCAGCCTATGAAGATCAAGTGTGCATTTTTGAGCCAACGCCATTAATACACAGTGATAGTTCACATGTATGTAATTTTAATTCAAAACATTAATAAATAGAATGAAAGCTTTTTTATAATTATTTAGTCTTACATTAATTTTGATGTCCGTTTTCGAATAACTATTTTTTACGTAAGTTTACATTTTTTTCTAAATACTTTTTGTGTATTTATTATATGTATATAATTATTTAATCATTGTATATGTTTGTACTAAATAATAGCATAATTTGTGTATATAATAACCACTCTGACATTATTGGTAAATTTTAAAGTATGAAGTATGAATATGCATTCATATTTTTGCTGATGCATAATTCTCAATTTTCACTTTATATTGATGTATCTTAATTTAGGGATTAGAGTATCGTTGGGTTCAGACGGGACGCTTACAGGCAGATTCCCACATTGCTGCTTTATCATGGAATTTAGAAGGAACTCGTCTCTTAACTGGAGGAGCAGTACTTCAAATGTGGCATCAAAAATTGGTACCACTAGATCACGATCTTGCAGAACCTTCTCAAGGTAATTGAGCGATATAAAAGTAATGTTATTGCTCAAGTTTACTATTAATAAAGTCTAATTTGTCTATATGTTTAATGTAATTTTTAATCAAATACTTACTTTAGGCGTTATTTACTCATGTTGTGTACATATTAAATTAGCATAAGTTAGATAATTATATTTGTGCTAATATTTTCAAAGACTTTTTATAATAATGTATACTATCATCTAATAGTTTAGATAAATTTATTAAAATTATAAAAATATTTGTTTCTGAAGCCCATATTGTAATTAATCATTAATATTATTAAAATTAACATACTATTTAATTGAACTAAATTTTTATATTTATATTTTAGGTGTGACATTCCAAATTGGAGGTGACAGAGATAGTAAAGTTTTACCTGAACCAGAGGAAGGAAAAGATGATCAGGTAAATTTCATATTGAAATATTTGTAGCATATTACTAATTCTTATTGTAGTAGAATATTATTAATAATTACTTATTATGAAGGGGTGGGACTGCGTTTGGAAATGCAAAACTGCTACTCCTGTGTATCATATGGAGTTTAGCCCTGATGGTACACTATTTGCAACATCTGGTAAAAATGATAGACTTGTCAAGATTTGGTATGAAAATAAACATTTATTGTTTCCGTCAAAGAGCATGGACAATAATCCATATGCAAGTCATAATCAGGAACAAAATTATGGCTTTGTCTATATAGCTCATCCAAGAGCATTAACACATCTCTCTTGGCGTAAAACAAGCAAATATATGCCAAAAGGTTCAGTATCAAATATGCTGGTAACTTCTTGTCTGGATAATATCTGTCGAATTTGGGTGGAAACTGTTTTACCTGATGATGGTTTAGTTAATATGAATCAGTTTGATCCATTGGCTTCACAGAATCCTAAATTTAGAACTCACAGACATAAGCATCGGTTTATGCAGAGATTGAAACATATGAAAACGTGTTTTCATATAAGAAGGCATGCCAAACATCATGGTAATTTACCCAATGGCGGTTTAGGTGGGCAATCGCCTATACCAACTTTACCCTCGACATATAGTGTGCATGATTTTCATTCATATGGATATCATGGAACTGGCGTTACACCAGGTATAATATAAATAACTTTGAAAACTTTATCAGTGTGATAATGCAAAGATTTTAAAGTATTGTTCAAATAAATAATTCAATACAATTTCTCTTGCAGGATTACATTTTCATCTTGCTGCATCTATTAATGCAGAAACTGATATTCCTTTAGTTCCATCGATGAAATCTTCTCATCCTTCACAACAAGATCCCTCATTCATACTTCATTGGTTAAATAATAAAGAAATGCATTTCAGTTTGCAAGCTGAAGCAATTTTACAGGAACTCACTAGAAAAGTTGTCGAAAAGGAAGAAGCAGCAGCTAATATCACACATGTACAAAATCCAAGGTATTTATACTGACAACCTAGATTGTTTTACACCATTTAAATATATTTTATGAAAAATAATGAAACATTCCGTTTTCTATTGTTAATATATTGTTTTTCTTGATTTATCTGTCTATCATTAATAACATATATAATATATATTCAAGAGTTTTTTGTGTATAAGCTTTTATAATTCAGTAGAAATAGAGCTTATAATCTCATGAGTTGTCAGAATATTTTCTTAATTTCTATCGGTATGTAAATGAAAGTAATAACTAGCATTAAATTTCATAAAATGATTTATAATATATTTTTATATATCTAACTAGTATTGTGGAACCAAATGATGAAGAAAGTAAAAAAATGGGTCGTGTGAATAAATCATATTCGCAAGATGAAAGCGGTAGTGATGAGCATGTCATGAGCAACATCAACAAAACACATGATCCCTCTTTATCAAACACAACATCCATCAATTCTTTTGCAACTGACGTAACTGGAGGAGGTGGTGGCATAGGAATGCATATTACTGACTCGCTTGATATGAAAATAGATTGCTTATTGCGAGATTGGCATCATAGTCCCGACCTACTCTTTTCTGTACATCCAATTGATGGCAGTTTTCTTATATGGTAAGTGAACATTTTAAAACATAATTTCACATTATATATATATTGAAATTTTATTTATAACTATTCAAAGTATACAAGTATAGAAGCAATTTTTTATTATGAATGTGACACAATTTATATTATGATTTATTACTGGAATTACTTAGAACATCATATGTAAAAGTTGTTCTAGATTTATTTATAAAATATTTATTTTAAAACATGATGTTTTATTACTTATTAGTAATATATTTTAATTACAACAGGGTTGTGGAATGGTTGGATGAATATCATCCTGGCTCATTTCGCCAAGCCCAAGTATCCTTCAGTACTAGAATTCCTGGAGCTTTTCCTCTTGGCGATGCTATGAGTATGGCTACTACTTTGTCTTTATACAATACAACAGGATCACATCAATTCAGAGATATGGTGCGAGCAGCAAAACCAACTTCACAAAAGACGGTAAAGAGATAATATTATACTATATTTTTATTATTTTTTTTGTAATAAGGCTATTAATATTTATTATAAAAAATATCAAGAATCATAAATCAACTTGAAATTCATTTTTATACAAGTATTTTAAAATCTAGTATTTATGTTGAATCAATTATATTTTAGGGTGTTGAGGTCGGTATAGAAGCATCAGCCAGTCCACTTCCTAGTGTTGTGGAAGAGGATCAGACTGCACCGGAATGGCCAAAAAATGCAGATGACCAACATGAGAAACCATCTACTGATCCACCAAGTGAGATTTAAAAATTTTAACATAAATTTTATACAAATGACAATTATTTAATTTATAGGTCCTGCACCATCAGGCGAAAATCATACACCGCATTCTGCAAGTATGATACTTAATTCAACTACAAGCGATATGCTTTCAGCACCTCCATCGCCTGTTATATCTATGGTTTCGAAACATTCAAATGGCACTTTGAATCTTTGGCAGTTAACTTTTGCAGATAAATCAAAGTTTTCTCAGGTAAGCTTTATATAATTTTTATCTTTATATAATCTATTCTATTCTATATGCAATAACACTTTTATTAAATAAAATAACATAAAGCTGCATCATGATAAAAATCATTAACAGTTTTATAAATATATATTTTGCACAGGTACTTAGCATTGGTCATGCATCAAGGGCTTCTGGGCACAGATTTCGAGTAAATGATATCACATGTCATCCTGTTCTACCTCTTCTTTTAACGACTTCTCATCATAATATTCCAGGTAACATGTAATATTTTTTCTAATAATTTTAATAATTCCTATTTATATTTTTAATTATATGTTTATTTATTTTCCTGTTTAATAAATGTAATGCAGTAATGAAAATTACAAATTTTATAATTGTCCTAAATATAATATTAATTTATCAGATTTTCCAACTGTTCCTGGAGCCCCGCGTCCGACACAAACTGAAAAATCTGCAAGTTCTACTCCGACTTACGAGCATTTTGTTAACAAGGATGTATTTTCTCCAACCGGTTTTTGTTCTGAATTGATTTTGTGGCGTGTTGATGCAGTCGGTCCGTTGTCGAAGTCTGGTGGAGTTAGTGAACTTGCTAGAATAAATAGTCCAGAAATATCTGCATTCAGTAATGTTGCTTGGATTCCCACTTTGTTACCAAGGTAAATTTTTATGTGATTTATACGATTTTCAAATTGTGTGAAGCGTGTAAACTTTATCCAAAATCCAAAGACTTAATACTGGGTTTGGGTTTTCTAGCATCTATTTCTCTCTCTCTTTTACTTTAATTGTCAGAAAAACTCAAGGTTTCCTGAATAATCAATGTCATTATGTTTTCTGTAATTTTTAAGAAGGAAATAAATGTATGTTTTCTTAGTTTGCTTAATATATTGAGTTATAATTACTTTATGATCCGATTATTGTCAAGCAGGATGCTGCAGGAAAATGAACAATATACATTTGATTAATTTGTGTAACAGCACCTAAATGGAAAACTGGAATATATTTTTCCTGTAATACTAAATACATTTATTCACCAGAGAGTTATACCATATACATTAATAATTATAACCAAATTTTTATTAATCCGTCAATTTCTGATCTATTCATATGAAAATAATCTATCAATATATTCTTGTTTTAGTACTACTTTGGGAAACCTAAGCAATTCGCCATCAGCATGTTTTGTAGCCAGTGATGGGGAATGCTTGCGAGTATATCAAGCTGTTATTGATGCTCGTACTTTGTTAGCTGAAATTAGTTTGTCTGAAAGAAGATCCAAGATGAAGGTATGTAATAAATTGTTAATAAATACATTTTAATTCATGTATTCAGAGATTGCTTTCAGTTATGTCTTCTTCTATATACCTACTCTTTATTAAAGGATTCTATGATGTCTCTATCTTCTGCTTGCTCATCGGAAGTAGCGGGTCCAGCTTTTCCTTTACAAGAGAGAATTAAAATAGTTTCACAACAGTCGACTGCGCGGCCTGGTTGTGTGATACAATTAGATGCTATTGAAGATGCAACACACGATTGGCAAAATACGCAGTTTCTTCATGTGTTCCAAGAGCAGTTGATTACAGGTTGGTATATGTATTAAACTCTGTTATCATCTATATATATAAAAATAAGTCGGGATTTTTCTTCCTGACGAAATAACTCCGGAACGCTCGAACCGATTTCGACAATTTTGCATTTGTTTGGAAAGGTCTCGGACTCCGCAAGATTTATAGCTAAGAAAATTAGTTGTGCATGGCATCGTGCCTTAATGCAAGCTGCTGGAACTTCATGCACCGTAATTAAAAATTCGAGTAATAAAAATAATCAACAATTGTTTTAAATAATTTCAAATAGATTATATACTTCTTCTATATATATAAAAATAAGTCGGGTTTTCCTTCCTGACGAAATAACTCCAGAACGCACGGAACCGATTTCAACAATTTTGCATTCGTTGAAAAGGTCTCGGGCTCCGCAAGGTTTATTGCTAAGAAAATTATGGCATTGTGCCCTAATGCAAATTGCTGGAACTTCATGCACCATAATTAAAAATTCGAGTAATGACATTAGTGAGAATTATCAGAATTATGCTTGGTTAAGTCAACGAGCAATTCTTGCCGCAAAGAATAATGATATACATGTACTGTTTCCAGTTTGCCTTGCGTTCGCAATAACAAGTCGCAAGGCCAATCGCTTAGTGTTTGCGGGATAAATTTCAAATAGATTATTTAGAAAATCATTGTTTTTCACATGGGCAGTTATACGGTGCCTGTTCACGAGTTGGAAAACCATCCGCGTTGTTTGTGTTAACGTTAGACCAAAAAACAAAAAATGTGGTTTACCAAAGAGAACTTCAATTAAACGGATAATTTGCGGATTCACATTCATTTACTTTTAGAGAAGTTCAATTAAAAAACACTTCATTTTTGTAATGTAAACACTTAATTTTTCAAATATAAAACAAACAAAAAATTTCTTCATCTTTCTCACGAAACCATCTGGTGGCGAAACGGAGTTCGTCGGGTTTGCTAGTTTGTTCATAAAATCTTGGTATGATATGAATGTAAATAATTGCTAAACTTCTGAAATGTTTATTTGTTCTTATTCTAGGTGAACGTACTGAAGACAAAACAACTCCAATATTTCAAAGTTCTGCTGATCTAAGAGAAGGAACTCCGAACTTAATGGAGTCTCAACTAGGAGCTATGGTTGATTTACAACAAAATGCTGTGTTTGAAGAACCATTTTACATTGTTGTCCTAGAACGTACTGCTAAAGGCACTACTGTCCATATGTGGAGATTAGTCATAGCATCCCAACCTGATCCTGAAGGTTAGATATCCGTGTGCATTCAGATAAAATATTTGAACTTGATATGGATGAAAAGTTTAGTAATGCTTCTATATTTGCCCATTTAGAGTTATATTTTAATGTCTATTGTAGAAAGTTTATCAGCAAGTATGATGTATGTACCAGATTCAAATTTAGTCCAGGATTTAGATGAGTCTGAATTGGCTGCTCCAAAACATTCCACAACCAAACTTAATCCACAACCAGAACCTGTTGTTGAACCGCCAGGGCCTCACGTTTCTATTAGTACAACAAAGGTAAATGATTATAATAGTTTTGACTATTTGATCATTTCGTATTTTTATAATTTAATTTTATAATGCTGCCCTGCAATATTTTCATTTATTTCATTTTATATTTAATTTTCAGGTATGTCAACAAGAATTACCTTTGCCTGAGGGGGTGGAAGTTGTGCATGCCTCACCAGCTGCAGGACATTTGAGTTCATCATCAATTTACCCAGCATGTTTTGCACCTTATATTATAGTTACTGCTTGCTCTGACAGCACTGTTAGGTTTTGGAAATGCCAGGTTACTAAAACGAACGAAAAGGAAAAAGGTTCAAGAGAATACAATTGGTGTGAATGGGAAATGATTAGAAAGGATCAGGAATCAACAATAGATATTTCGGGTATGTTTTAGAAGTAGATATAAAAATATTTACATATATTACTGAAAACACTATTATTTGAATAGTTTATGGACATAGTTATAGCCAATTATTTTTATTTTTTAAGGTCAACCACTTAATATAAGTGCTGCATATTCAGGAAGAATAGCTTGTGCTTATAAATATGGAAAATCATTTACTCGTCCACATAAATCTGATCCCGAATCCAGATTTGTTAATTTGTGTGTTGCTATTTATGAATGTGAAAGTACTGGTGGCTCTGAATGGGTTTTAGAAGACACAATCCACCTGAAAAATATTCACTTACCTAGAATTCAAGTTGATCCTCATCTTGATTTGAGCTATTTGTATGACAGCAGATTTTTACAGAAAAAACAAAGGTTGACACAGGTAACATACATTCGTTTTAAGAATATTTTGTTAGCATTTTACTTCATTATATAGAATATCCATTAAGAGTTGTTTGGTTTTAGGTATTACAAACATTGTCGCATGATGAAATTCGAAATAATCGAACCAGTACAGAATCTGTTCATGGTAATACACTATCTCCTACGTCAGCAGAAGCACCAAATGGGTTAACCAAAGCCAATGCAGGTCAGTATAATAATAAGTATAGTTGCTAAAAAATTGTTTGTTAATATATCTTAAATACAATAATGGTATTACTTTATTTGGAACTGTAATTTATTTTGAAAATAAACGATTTTTCAGGATTATTAGCAGTTCCAAGTTTTTCCACTCTTCAGTCTCTTAGAAAGTCCATAACCGAGAATGGAAATACTTGTCCTTTGACACAGAAACATCTTGTACAGTTAGATTGGATATCTAAAGAGGACGGTTCACACATTTTAACTGTTGCTGTTGGAAGTAAGGTCATGTTATTTACATCAGTTTCAACAGATTTGGCACAAGCTAATATGAAGGTATGGAATATACAGGAATTTGACAATATTTAGCATTTACTTCTTTTAAAGGGTATTATTTTCTACTTATATCTCTAGGCAATGAAAGAATCCGCTTCCACTAATCGACCGATATTGCGTAAAGCAAGTTCCTTGGCCGCGCCTCATTTCAATGATGAAATTCGATGGATGAAATTGCGTCGAATTGACTTAACAACGGCAGATGGTCTTCCTCCATTGCCGATGCAGATCTCCTGGGTTCGTGATGGAATTTTAGTTGTCGGTATGGACAGCGAAATGCATGTTTATTCTCAATGGAAAGCAAATGCAGATCAAGGGCAAACACCACCGCAGGTAATTCACCGACAAACGGTTCATAAATATTCATAATCATTCATAAATTTTATCTAGAGAAAATATATATAAAAAAAATCATAAAACAACAAACATTGTTGTAGTCATATTATATTTAAAAAGATATTTCATTTAAAAAAAATTACATTTATGAAAGATTATTCATTAATTTAATCAATTTTTTATTAGGAATCAGATGAATTATATGATACTAGAAATTTGAGAGATGAAGATCTTCGTACAATTGCTCATGAGAGTTCCCAAAGACGGTTAAATAATGTTAGTTCAATGCCTCACTTGTCTAGAGTCAGTTCTATTAATCTCCAAATGTTCCAAGGCGGTGGCACTATAGACAGAAGGAAGAAAAGCAATACAAATCTACAATCAGAACAGGTAAAAAACTTGTAACAATGATTTATAATTCTTTTTATCACCTCAGTAAAAAAAATGAACATTGTTTTTGTTTGATAGGCGCCTGCTTTAGATTACATGCCTGACTATGGTTTATTTGAGGCTTCAAGAATAGCGTGTCCTGTGTTGCCACAATATCATCCTAAACAACTTATGGAATTATTGAACAGCGGGAAAATTCGTTGGGTTAAAGCTATATTGGCACATTTAGTAAGGTAATTGCTTTACATATGTATGTACAGTCTGAAAATGACAATGGATGTTACAGAAAGCGTTTTGTAGTAGAAGGTCTTTTTATATAAATATGTATGTACTTATGTTTTTTGATATAGTGAACATAGTAACTATACATGTGTATATTGTGCTCAAAAGACATTGTTATGGTCAAATTATTATTTTCAATTTTGCTATAAATAAACAAATCGTGATAATAATTCTGCACTAATTCAAAATAATAATCAATATTTTGTAAACAAAAACTTATATGAAAATCAAACTTCGTATTGTAATTACGTCATTATAAACGGCTGTTCAATATCATCAACATATTCTAAATACACTGCTTAAAAATGTAGCTAAGTGATGAAAGTTAGCTAACAAAAATATGTGATATTTGATTTTTTTATACAGATGTATCAGCGGAACTTACTCTTTGAATACTGCAGGGGGCGATGAAGACAGTTTGACCAGACAGGTATAGAAATCCTAATTCACTCATTTTGCCATGCACATTGTTTTTAACTGTACCTATTCTTCAATATGTACTAACCATTTACTGTTTGTTTATGTGGTTGCCAAAACTGTACGAAGTACGACTTTGTATTTTATATTATAATGTGTAATATTGTAGTTTATTATTTGTATAAATTAGTTTTTTACCATATTATTTTGCTTTTATTAATTTGGCATGCCAAAAGCTGTGATATACTACTAATCACTATGCTTTTGATGTTTTTATTTTCCATTATTTCTGGCATTGTTTTTCAGCGCGGGTGGTCTCGCTCGCGAACCTTGTCGGTCAGTTGTGTACCTGGCACTGCCAGTCCTCTAGAACCAAGAAATTCCACTACTCAAGTAAGTCCCGACATTCCAATATTATGATATTTTGAATAAGCACATATGTGATATCTGAAATTTTTTATATTTCTGAAATTTATGTTAAAAAAATATATTTTTTTACAGTTTCCTGAAGAGTTAACATTAGACTATGCAGAAATCACCTCTATACCACCCTTGCCGTTATGGACATTGCTTGCTGCTGAGAAAGAGACAGCAGCTACAAATGAGGATGGACAAGTAAGTAACCATTTAGTTATTAATTAAACAGCGTGCAATAATAAACAATGTTTATAGGAATATAATAACTTGTTTGATGCAAACACAACTAATTGCGAGGAAACTTTGGATGATTTACTGGAATGTGATACAGATTCACCTAGAAGATTTGATAGAAGAGCTTCAGTGCCCGAAAGACAAGGTTTATCTTACTTTGGGCCTAGACAAGGTAAATTTTATACATAAAGCATATCATAGGTCAAATGATGATATTTAAATTTGATGCATTTTTATATATTTTTATGATATATGTACTATTAACTAGTAGCTTGCAGATTTATATCTGCTCATTATGTTTTATGTGACTACTTAAAGTATTTTATTATTAACAAACTTCCCTGGTATAGTTTATTATTAATAAAAGAGTAAATAAATTATAGCAATTATTGAAAAGCATTTTTCACTTTTTAGGTCGTTTACTCTCGCGACTCTTGACACATACCCACATGCCTGGTTTGTCCAGCTTAGATCAGATGCATTTGCTGGCCTTGGCTGACACGGTATCTTCATGTAACACTGATTTTGCTGAAAGATTTGCAAATGATGCTGCACGAAATGCAATTGCTAAAGAAAATTTAAGCGGAGTACCGGATACTGAAGTTATTTCAACAGGTATTTACCGATCAACCTTTTCACTTTAATACAACGCCTATTTGTATAAATTTATATTATATTTTTAATACAGTAATAGATTAAATAATATAGTGATAGATTTTTTAATAAACTTATTATATGCGATCACGCGTTGCTGATGATATTAAAATTTTTTGTAGATTCATTGGATGACTGTGGTTTGCGGTTCCTATTAGCCATGAAACATTACACATATTTATTGCGGTGTCTGCCTATTGCACAGAGAGCTCAATTCCAAAGACAAGGCGTTGGAACCAACAATTTAGTTTGGGCATTCCATTCCGAAAGCGAGGAAGAATTATTAAACGTTATACCTTCATATGCAAAAGGGCAAGCAAAATGGAACACACTTAAGGAATTGGGTGTTGGATGGTGGTTACGTAATAGTACTTTATTAAAAACTTGTGTAGAAAGGTTGGCTAAGGCTGCCTATCAAGTTAATCAAGATCCTTTAGATGCCGCTATTTATTACATTGCAATGAAGAAGAAAACGCTAGTTTGGGGATTATTTAGATCGAAACGAGATGACAAAATGACGGCGGTATGATTACATAAATTGGTTGATAAATGTTTTTATTATATTTAAAATGCCTTTTTTACAGTTCTTCAGCAATGACTTTACAGAAGATCGTTGGCGAAAAGCAGCACTTAAGAACGCTTTCGCGTTGTTAGGAAAACAGCGATTTGAACATGCAGTTGCCTTTTTCTTATTAGCTGGTGCTTTGCGTGATGCTTTGGAAGTTTGTTTGAATAAACTAGAAGATTTGCAACTAGCGATGGTGATCGCTAGATTATATGAAAGTGATCGCGAACCAAATCCACCAAACTTAAAACGGCTTCTTTATGAAGAAATACTTGGGTAAATATACAGTTCTTTAATAATACGCACTACGAAATCAACTGATAATTAACTGTATTCTTTATTCTGCAGTTGCGACGCTGAAGGCAACAATCAGAACACAGCAAAAATGCATCCAGATCCTTTCTTAAGATCCATGGCTTATTGGATTTTGAAAGAACATTCTACTAGTTTAAGTACATTATTACAAACAGGCGTCGGTCATTTACATTCCGCCCATGATGATGAAGCAGATACTAGAACAGACGGACATTGTACAACTGATCCGAATGTTTTCAACTTTTATGTGTATTTAAGAACACATCCATTACTTATTAAACAACATATTGCATCAACAGCTCAGGTATATTAAATTATAAATTAATCACAAAATATAATTTATTAATTCACATTTATATAAATCAACTTATTTGATAATTCATGGTTGACAGGAAAGACAAAAAGTACACGTTGCTCTAGGCGGCTTTAGTTATTCTAGTGTTGTTGGTGATGCTAATTCCAAAGTTGATACAGGCAGACATTTAATGCTCGAAGATTCTATTACACCTCTAGAAAGGCAGTTATACTTTACAACTGCCCATGGTCATTTTAAAGCGGGCTGCCCAGCTTTAGCTTTAGAAGTTCTAAGTAAACTTCCAAATAAAGTTATTGATCCATCACAAGGTAAACCTCAATATGATAATTCATGATAGTGAGTTTTGCATTCTATTATTATTTTAATAAATTGCAGGAGATTTAAATAGTCCAACCAAAGGTAAACCACAAGATCTCAGAATTGATACAGGCATGCTATCGTTCAGTGATACAACAACCAAAGGTATGAATTGTGATCAATTTCAAATCTGATACCCTGTAAAATCACTCAAGTAGTCGTATTTATTATTAATATTTTTATATTTAGATATTACAAACACAGAAACATCAGATGATCTCTGGGGCCCGCCCGCACAAAAAACAGAAAGCTCAGATTTCGATTGGGGTGCTCCAGTTAGCAATACGAAAGAAGAGGAACTAGTTTTAGATTGGGATGATGATAAATCAGAGCAGTAAGTAAACTCTTGTTTAGCTCCTATTTTTTATTAAGTTTGGTATTTTTACTGTTTTTATATTATAGTTCGTCTGGGTCTGATGACGCACCCATGATGAAGATAGATAAGAAAGTACAATTAGAAACACCGGCGCCGCCGGAACAATCTTTAGGTACATTTGATATTATGGCACAACAATTGAAATTTGTTGCATGCTTGAAAATTCTAATGGAGGAATTGTCTACACTGGCTACTGGTTATGAAGTTGATGGTAAGATTTAGTCATTTCTTATTATACAATATTCAGTCAGTTTTATCATATTTAACTGTGTGAAACTAAAATTTAATAATGTGCTGAATGGCAATTTTTAGGAGGCCAACTTCGATATCAACTGTATATATGGCTGGAACATGAAGTTGATGCTCTTCGACAGCTTTGCGGTTACAGTCTCGGCGAAAATGTTCAACCTAAGAAAATTCATGAAAGTTCAACATTGGATATAAGTTCAAGCAATCTCAATGCCTCAACAACTAATTTAGAACGATCAGATACGCCGACACCAAGTACTAAGCATGAATGGCCAACGTTACATGAAATTTTGATGGCTGAGAAAATAGATTTTGAGAATAAAGTTCAAAGAGCTGCTAAAAGGAAGAAGTGGTTGAAAGGTAATTTATTTTGTCATAACTATTAAATATCTCTTATAAGCTACTCTACAGTTTTTTATTGAAATTTTATAGCAAATGAAACATTGCTAAGAACACTTCTATCATATTGTTCACTACACGGAGCGAGTGGCGGCGGGTTAGCATCGGTAAGAATGGAACTAATTCTGTTACTTCAAGAACTTCAGCAAGAGAAGTCTCAACAACAACTCTTATCTCCACTTCCATTCCCTACTACATTGCCTTTGTTAAGTGCGACAGTTGCTGGCAATAAAACAGTTATTGCTGATCCAGTACGACACTTGCAATCTCACGCACATGATATGCTACAGACAATAATAGAATTATCAGGGCCTCCTCAAGTAGCAAATATACAACAACTAAGAAGAGTTTTTGAGCTCAGAGATCTAGCAGTGGCTTTATCAGCTTGCATTTATCAATCGTTATGTGACAGTGATACATGCAGTATAAAGAACGCGGTATCGAACGAAGCATTTTTAAGCCCCGGTTTAGAAAATATAGCGCGACTTAACGCTACCTGTGGTAGTACTCATCTCATTGGAGGAGCGCACGCTAGAAGAAGAAAATATTCAACGGATGAGCCCGTCACTGTTAGTACACCACCAAGTAAATGGCCAGGTGTTACCAATTTACGAGCTTTGCTCGCACGCGAAAAAGATGAAGATTCGCCTCGTTTGAACCTACTTCTTTGCGAATCTTTTGTAGCTACATACATGGCTTTAGTAGTTTACTCTCTTTGCACATGTGATTCCCATATTTTGTACAGATTAGTTGGTCATAAGTTTTCTAATATGACTTGGGCTAGCTTATTTGGAGGCGGTGTCAAGAAGCTACTGCGGTCTGCTAATCTCCAACCACAACCTGCAGCTAATCAAGATAAAGAACCTACAACCACTAAAGATTCAATGTGGAATGCAGTTACATCACTAACTAAGCAAAGAGTCAGGTTGAACATGAAGTTGCTGGGACAGTTTTCAGGACAAAGTGGACCGAATATGAAAGAAGATAAACCAACTTATCGAGAGCAATTTGTTCCACCTGAAATGTCCATGGTAGCATATTTCTTACAAAAGGTAAGTAAATATAATATTTATAATTTTCATTTGCATTGTTTAAACATATGCTAATTTATCAAATTTTGAACAATATTACTTTACTTACAAAATAGACACAGTATGTTGGTTCGGACGATTACGACTACGATTCAGCAGAATCAGTAGCATCTGATTTAGAGTCTGAAGAAGAAGATGAAGAGGATGTGTTTGCTAATCCTCTGAGCACTGACGCCAGGTCCTCGCAAGTAGCAACTGCACTTCGGAGACATCGTCGCGAAAATACGCAGCATTCGAATCCACACTCATATTCATGGTCTATCATACGATTAGCTGTTGTACGAATTGTGCAGAATCAATTGACAGAGTTTCTCAATATTGCTGGAATAGAAATGCAAGGTTAATATTTTCATAAGCTGTGTTTTCATATCATGAATAGTTGTTATTAATATGTGGACATTATAACATTGTGCCACAACCAGATTTATCCTTATAGAAAATTAGACAACGGTAATTTGTGGAAAAGGATTACCGTAGACAATTTAACACAAATATCTTTAAAATTGTTCATTTTATCTTTTTTGTCTTCCAGCAAATGTGTTTAAGCATTGAGATTAATTTATGATAATAACTTTTTCAAATAAGAAATATCGTAACTTCAATTTCCACAACACTATGTTTATAATCATACATTTTTTTCTTTAAATTTAGTTTTTCATTACAACTTTCGATATTTTTATATTACATTTCAATTCAGAATTGCCTGTGAGCAGTCCTCTGATTCATGGCATTTTGCGTTCATTATCGCAGTGGCAACAATTACTTTCTGAGGAATTAGAATCTAGAGGTCCAGCTCCTGCAGACTACATTCCAGGATGTTATGTTGAAACCACTGCAACTGGACCTGCTATCCATAAATACAGGTTTGTATTAAAAATTTGAAATTTTTTTGTGTTTTGATATAATTTTGCATTGATGGTTTTTTATGTATTTCAGATCGTTATTGGAGAAGGGAAATACACCCTTTAGTCCTGTACTGGCAGCTGCCGCACCAGTTACGCGATTGTGGATGTATCTAGTCAAACAAGAACTTGTACAGGTAATAAAATATATGATAAAATTATGCAAAAATGTTTCAATTTCAAATAGACATTTTAATAATATTTATAAGTTAAACAAAAATAGTAGACAATTTTCAAAAATATTGTTCTGACGACGTGACATTTGTGGTGCTTGCTTTAATTGTAACGATTTCGTCTATTACAAAGTTTTTTTTTACTCTGGTAAATCAAAACTTGGTTATCAATTATTCATAACAACTATTAATTGCATTAAATTTATATTTTCATAAGGAAATTTTCATTCGAGCCGTATTTGGCAAACGGCGATCGCTAGCTGCAATCCTGGAACCCTTAAATGGTGGTTCCGGATGCGCATCTGTTGTGGATGGAACATCTCGAAGTGGTTCAATTGTTCAAGATGGTGACAGATTGCCAACCGAACAACTTCAGCAACCCGTACGAATAATTCATAAGGAACAAGATCATATTTCAGCATTCTGCTTAAATCAGGTAAGAAAATATTGGTACACATGTTATACTTGATTATGATTCAATAAGCATAAATGTGTCAATTATTTTAGGTAAATCCTGGTTTGCTAGCTCTGGCAACTCCACGAGAAATCCAAGAAATGGATATCTCACTATTATTAGATTCACCATCTTGGTTAGAAGATGAATGCGAATTCGATATCATGAATTTAAACAAAGATGTTGACACGTTGCCGTCGAGCGGTTTTCTTGTTATTCAGACGTCAACTGACAAGTAAACTATAATTACTTCACATTTAGTTTTAACATTTTTCAAAAACTCAAACTAATAAAACTTTTAGAAACATTCTGAGTCATAGTCCAAATTCCGGTCATAATTATGCAATGCCATCCAGTCCTCAGCCTGGAATTGCTGGTCAATCAGGAAGAGGTGCATCTGTGGTAATATACTTAAAAATATTTATATATATATATATATATATATATATATATATATATATATATATATATATATATATAAATCATATCATGTAGAATTATTTCATTCAATGGTTGAAGTATATACAATATTTAATGTTATAAATATGTCAAATTAAATACTAAATAATCTATCGAAATGCATATCATATATGCTTATGCAACTACTAATTTTGTGACAGTTTACTGGCACTTTGTGGTGAAATGTTTTGAAGATTGAAGAAGTATTATTATGATGGAAACAATGTTGAATTGGTTAACGACTTTTGCAGATAAATGAGTCATTTCGCGATTCTTTGATATTTCTTCCTTCTTTTCTTTTTGCCATTTCATCCAAATAAATATACTAGCTTTCTCATACACGCTGACAGATATCATGAGCAATTATGTTCATGTCCTTATTAGTTATTGCGATTAATAGTTTGATTTTATTTTATGGAAGATAAGTTAAATAGTACTTGATTAATAACTTTCCTACACAGGAAAGTATGCAGCTTATAATAAATAGATAGATTTTTGCTGCAATAGATGATATGCTTAAAATATGTATAAAATAATGATTAAATTAAATCAACAGAGAATAGATTGCACATAGAACCTTTGAACTTTATGATAGTTATTTATTGTAATCTAATAGGCTATTTTGAAATAGTGTGCATTTCACTTATGAACACACTGCACTTACGTCAATTACTTATCTTTTTTAAATTATTATGAGTCTGTTTTGGAGATTATTATATACGACCATTTTATTTTTTAAAAAAAACTTATGTTCATGATTTCTTTTCCGTTATTGAGAAAACTATTAACTGTCACTGTTTGTGGTGTGTGTTTGCTTTTGCAAATATCGTTTGTCTGTTTGTGTGTTTTGTGCTGCCTTTCCTTGAATTCTGTCTGGGATGTGATATAAGATGAAAGGTGTCAGTTTTCCTGGATCTCACAGTCATCGATTCTGTCAACTGGTGGTGGACCGAAGCAAACATTTACTCAAGCCGGTAACAAAGTTTTCCAGACAAATTGAATTGAATTTCAGTACTGTTATATTTTAATTCTTTATCTGTAACGACTTTTTTAATTTGTCTTGAATATAATGTTCTAGTCCATTCAATAATATATACATTTGTTTTGTATATATGTGACCCAATGCATGAAAATGTTTAATTGTGTTATTTTCATTATAATGGATACCTTGCACATAATTTACATTTGTTTGCATAGTTTGTCATCATCCTCAAATGAAATATGGGTACTAAATACTCTGAGCTTTTATATGCACTTCTTTATTTAAGTGATTATATTTATTTATTTGCTAGATTTTTTTATGGGTTAGCAGTAGATATGGATTTGAAACCAGAGAAACATTTGAACAGAAGTTGACTTTTTGCATTGGCTTATCATTATTTATTTCATATTTATATGTGTATAGCTCAGTTTTTTCAGTGAATTTATGACAAAAGACTATTGTCTCGTATCTTTTCAGGTCTTGAAACATAAAGTAGACAACATTAAGCGAATGTGTTCTCATCCTCTGATGTCACTGTGTGAGTAAAAACACTTTATTAAGTTGTATTATTTAATTTTAAATTTGACTATATAATTTGTGCCATTCTAACCTTTTCAGATTTGACTGGGGGGCAAGATGGTTCAGTACAATTATGGGAATGGGGTCATCAGCAAGTGGTATGTACTCCAAGAGCACCAGGAACTTTTGCCAAAGTAACTAGAGCGAGATTTTCGCAGCATGGAAATAAATTTGGTATCGGTGACGGAGATGGCAATCTCAGCTTATGGCAAGTGGGATTAGCCAGTAATGCAAATCAATCATTCTTTGTAAGTCGATAGATTAATTACTGCTGTTGATTCATAAAAACTTCATATTTAATATTTTTTCAGACATACCAGTGCCATAACAAAGGAATTGGAGATTTTGTGTTTTTGGGTTCTTGCAGTTTATTAGCTACAGGTAATGAACCATATTATTACCTTGAATTATTCCTTATTATCATTTATTCTTGAATTATTATTATTATATTGAATAAATATTATTATTTTGCATCTACTGCAAGTAAAGACTGATAGTTAACTGATAATACATCATATGCCATCTAATTATTTCATATTTATATTCTTTAGCTGGCCATAGTTCTGAGAGCAAAAATGTTGCAATGTGGGATACTTTGATGCCAAGAAAGAAATCCCAGGTGACTGCATTTACATGTCATGATCAAGGTGCCTCTAGTTTAGTCTATGCACCCCAACATCAGCTCCTAATCTCAGCTGGTAAAAAAGGAGATGTTTGCATTTTCGATGTCAGGCAAAGGCAATTGCGACATCGTTTTCAGGTACGCACATTATTTATTTTATATTTATTAAATAATATTATATATATATATATATATATATATATATACACATACAACTTGTACATATATAATACATATTACTACACCTATTGTACATTATTGTATAATATAAGGTATAAGGTGAACGTTTCAAGTACAGTAAAACCTCCATTATCCGGACTACTAACCGAGACAAAGTTATATGTACCTACAATTCGAATTTTTGCACTGATCTAAGAAAATATATATTGTACGTACATAAGGAAATGTTAATTTCTTATTAAACATTGATTTTCGTTGATATCTATGTATGTATTTGTTATTTTTGATAAATACACATCATTATTCTTCATACATTGGATTATCCGGATGCCTATCGACAGCAATTAGTCCGAGGTTTTACTGTATGTATTTCGGTACTGGTTGTCAAGAAAATATTATATTTAGACCGGTTTTGGCGAATTGAAAGAATAACATATTTTGTAGTGCTTGTAGATTTATATGTGTAATTTCTAAAGAGTTGTATGAATATTCATAGCGCATTTTGTACAAAATAAACTGTCGTACAATATAATACAAAACAATATAACAATCAGAAAATTATTAGTCGAGAAATTTTTTTGATAATTTAGGTATGTATTTAATAACAATGAATACAACTTTGTGTATTTTTCCTGGATCAAGCTTACATCAACATTCCGATAGATGCAAATAATCGACATAATCAGTAAAGAACAAGTACATATTTTATGAGTGATTTATTTGCTGTTTCTATAATATGAGGAACTATTGCTTATAGTTTAAATATTATACCAAATGCAAATAGTTGTATGTCTTAAGAGCATACCTGTTTTTTCAAATACTTGGACGTCGGCCCTAAATTCATAAATTGTCTTTTTTTTCAACAATTTATCGCAAAGTAACGGTCCAGCTGGTCGTAATAAATAATACAAATCAACGTGTGCCTTTCTTATGGAGGATCATTAAATGGAGTTCGAATGTTTTAAATCGATGCAGCCGTTTTTAACAAAACGGTGACGAAATTCACCTTTCGTCGGTTCACAGACAGACACATACATACTTTTTCTTAGTTTGGTCTCGCACGATTCAGAATGTCTTGAAACGTCGAGAAAACGAAAAACTAGCAAGTCGATCTTCTTCTGGAAGTTGTAAGAATTAAGAAAAATTATAAAATATTTTTATTAAACAAAATAAAAAGAAATTAATAAAAAAAATGCAAGCAATTTTTTGTTAGAAAGAGTAACGTTCTGTGAAGCAGCACTGAAACTACTAAAACCGATGTCGTACACAGGTATGATATAAACTGGCATGTTTATATAAACATATTTTTTGAAGTAACATAGACGGAAATAAATCCTATGATAAAAACTTTTACCACAATATCCAGTTACTAGAGACCGAAGGATCTTATGGAATGTTAAACGAAAACCGCGTTATCGGTAGTTTGACGCAATTCCCGCTCCGCGTAGTATGGAAACCTCATTCCCAGACTATCTCGTTTCTGGGGGATTGACTGTTATGCGTTCGTATTTGAAAGCTTCTACAATAAATTTCTCTATTTCTATTAGGCCCATGAAACTCCGATCAAATGCTTAGCAATGGATCCAAATGAAGAATATTTTGTAACGGGTTCCGCCGATGGCGATGTGAAAGTCTGGGGTTTGTCCATCCACTCACTTTTGCATTCATTCCCTGGCGAACACGCCAAAGGTAGTTTTTTCAAGACAATCGGTCAAGGCGTCACCCAGCTTCACACGGATGGGGCTGGCAGATTATTTTCATGTGGCGTCGATGGTAGCATGAAAGTTAGACAATTGCCGCATCCACTTTACTAAATATTAGGTATGTACCTTGAAATTACTTGCAGACATCAATTTTGGTGATTTATCTAAAAAAAGTTGTTCAATACTATGAGTTTATTTAATTGGTCGTACTTATAATAAACTTAAAACAATTAAGTTTTATAAACAATCAATGTTGAATATTCCTTGTTATATTTTGGAATGTTTATATTGTAAGAGGAAATTGATGGTCTATTATGCAATTTTTTTGCTTGTGTAGTTATATACATTTTATCGGTCAGTATCCAGTCTAGTTTCATCTAGATTAGATCATAATTTTTTCTTCGATATATACTATAATTATTTTTGTTATTATTCTATTTTAAACTTATCGACGTTATTTTACTGACATCCCCAAGAAAAACTAGCTGGTCATAGATTTATTATACTAACATAATTTTGAATAAACAAGTGTATAACAGTATTACATAAATCAACAAAATGCTGTATCAAGTATTTTAAAATTAAATATTTTCATGTTGATCGTATACTAATAAATATTTCATGTTTAAATAATAAGAGACAATATTGCTGTTGTTAAAACTTTCTAGATAAATCTAAATTTTTCAATAAATTTATAAAATTTAGTTTTGTAATTAATTAATTGTGTAATTTGGGAATTTTAAAGTAACATCACATAAAAAATACGTACAGAAAGTTAGTCGGTTAACCTAAATTTAATTAAACTAAAATTTAATATTATTTTTGTTAAATCATTCAGAAATATTATGTTATGAAAAATATTATGTAACAATATTATGTTATTAGGACTATTTTGATAGCCGCCTCAATTTTTTATATAAAATTGTACTAATAATTCGCGTTTATTTGTGATATTTAACTAATTTTATATAGTTCTTATAGTTAATATATATAAACATTGTTGATTAACTTACAGCTAAAAAAGTTTTTAAATATTGTGTAGTATAGTTATTGAATTATATATTGTACCAATTGTAATATTTATTGCTTAAATATATTATTCAAATTCTTGTTCATACCTGTACTTTCTTTAGGATTATGTATGATAATGTTGGTAAAATCGTTTGTTTATGCCTATCTATGATATTATGTAATTTCGGCCAAATAGTTTCGAGACGAGGTTATAGAAATAATAAAATTAGTTGTTGTTTGATCATGACAAGTGCAACATAATGTGGATCGAATGTGATTTTGAACGAATTTACCGATGACGACTATCAAACTAAATGTTACTGTACATTGTGTGATTATTAATAATGGCGTTATAAAATAGTGTTAGTTTTTATTGTTTGAACAACAATCAGAACTACATGTGTTTGATGAACCGTTGTTGTGATTCCTTAACCTAGTGGTCATCAGAATGCAGCCCAGCGGTTGATCATTTGACGCCATATTTAAAGTTGGATTTTTTTATTTAATAATTTCACATATCATATTTTAGATTAAGTGAAAATCTGTTAGCACCATTGATTTATACCAAGATGGACGAAGTGGGTACCGAGTCTGGAATCAGTGGTTTCTAGAACCCCGTTTTGATCATGGAACCATGGCCGGTTAAGGAATAGTGGTAAGTAAAATATAATTATACTTGTTTTATTCGAAAAACTGTCTTATTAGACAAATGAAAACTTACTTTTTATAATACCATGACTTATTTTGTTATAATAAAAACTTTTGCATATTGTGCAAAATAGTGAACAGTCATACATTTAATGTAATAAGCAAATAATACACTATGCCGTCTGCGGAACATATTTGTACTTACAATTAGACAAGTCTGATGAATCATTGTATTTATAAATATCTAAAACCTTTATTTAGTAAACGATAGAGTTTTATTTTATTTCCATATCATTACAATCTGTCTGAAAAGTCATTTAGTAATTTTGGTGATTAATTTGTAGAAATATGATTATCAGATGGTACCCAGTGGTAGTCTTTTTAAGTGTGAAAACTAAATGATTAATGTTTGAGGGAAGCAAGTCTTTCGCTAGTTGATTCGGTTGATTTTTCAGTCTAGTCTTGCACTTACAATTTCATGCAAGTCTTGTGATTTTTTCTGTTACCGAAAGTATACTGAAGGCTCGGTGATTCAGCAGATTTTCGATTTAGTCAATTGACAATCGTTCTTTCTCTCAATGTTTACTTTTATCTGATTATATAATCCACGCCTACGTTCGTTCCCAAATGCACAAGTGCATATAAAAATAGTTTTTATTAAAATCAAAACTGTAATTAGTAGATGATAGATATGTATTTAATTATTTATTTAATAGAAAATTGTTCTTTCGCTAAACGTTTTCATTTAATCTTTTATTATGAATCATCAATCAACAGTAGGTACTATAACTTTATTAGTGTGATTTGCAATTTGTGATTGATTTAATATGAAATCATGCGGGTTTTGATACATTTACACTAATTCTGATATTTGACACATATCAGGTGATTGATAGTATAATATAACTGATCACATTTACGCATTAATACATGCTTGCGAATATATGGGAATGCTTTGGCATGCAAAATGTTTAATTCAATTACTTGCAATTGTCTTTGATAAAGGTATTAATTTAGTAAGATAGAGGGATATTGCAAATAATCAGAATTAATATTTGAATTGTTTGAATTACTTGCTAAACATTAGCTAGTATAGAACCACTTGCGTAACTTGGCAATTTGTATTAAAAAATGTTTGTGTTATATATATATATATATATATATATATATATGTATATATATTACAATCGTTTATAATTTATGAATAAGTAGCTGTAGATTCAATTACTATTATTGATTTTCTTTGTTTTCGTTTTACGACTTAGTTTTATATTCGCTTTTATATTGGCGTTAAATAAGGAACATAACCCCGCATAAATCTATACATGATGTGGTAGGAATATCGGCGGGCAAAGACATACTTTTCCTTCTTAGCCTTTGGCGCCAGACCGTTTTATTCAGAATTTCTCCAACGTTTTGCTGAAGGAAAGATACAAGAATGGATTTTAAAAAAATTGGGTATATAATAATATTATCATTCATTCTTAATTTCTTTTACGAGGGGCGTATTTTTTTCATTTTGTTCATTAATAACAATAAAAAAATAAACTAAATTTAGAATTGTTTATAATCAGGTATTCAATGATTTTACCATTCATTGCACGTTCTTTGCGATACGTGTATTTGATTTTTTTTTAATTCGCTTTATCAATCAATCAATTTTATCAATGATAACAATCAGAAAGTTAACTAAGTTTTACACGTTGTATTTAATAGTGTTACCATTCATTATCAACCTCATTTACGATGCGTGTATTTCATTTTGTTCATTTTTTATCATTAGCAATCAGAACATTAACTACATTTCATAAGTAATTTTGATTTACATTTTTCATTTTTTTTATCTTTAACAACAATTTACTGCAACTATCTTGGTTTGTTCTTTTATTTTTCAAGGTGAATATTTGTAATAAAACTATAAATGCGTCGGACTATGAATTCGCATCGGATAAACTTTAAATTTTTAATTAATATGATCTTATACGGAATAATTGGCCATAAAACTGGTACTAGTGATTATCTATGATTGATCTACATTATTAACACAATCCTCACATGTAACAGAACAATATTCGGTTATTGCTGAAGACGGTGCATTAGCAATGACGGCAAAATTAGTTTTTCATGCTAACTGAGAGATGATAGTATGATAACTTATTTTCATTTAAGGTAACAAAAGCATTATTTGAATTAAAAGTACTAAACATAACTATTACTTCAAATCTAGTTCATAATAATTATGTGAATATCACAAGAACCACTAACTAAATATTTGAGAGCAACACAACATTAACAAAAGTATAAATGTAGTTGAGAATATCAAATATTGACATACTTTGTGCAAGTTTATAGTTCTATAAAATTGAAAATTATTGTTTTTTATAAAACTTGGTAACACGCAGATGGAATACCGAAACCTGTTATCGAACCTTTGAATAGAACCTATCGTATTTATAGTTATAATAATCTTGTTGTATTATTAATAATTGGGCATTTTAATATGGTGATATTGAAAGGGAAGTGATGTGGCGACATAAGTTGGCCACGAATACGTATCATGACATTTTATAATTTGTAAAACGATCAGAGATATTAATATATTATTATAATTTTCTAATGCGGTCTATTCTATATAATTTTTCAACATTAGTAACTCAATTTTGGTTCTTCTTAAGCGAGTATAAGTCACCATTTAGCGATGTTTTAATTCCTAATATAATTAATGATCTTTTAGATTATGTTTTGACATCGAAATTATTCTAAACAATATCTCCGACATACATTTATTTTTATCGCGGTTCACTAGCTATATTTTTTCTTTTCTTTTTCTTTATTACCTATTAACTTCCACTTTATCTCGGTATATTACCCTTTGCGATCGTATATCGGTATAATAGTTTATAATGTACCGATATACGAGTGCAATGGGTTAATATTTTGATTAATATCATGATGTTTTGTAATTATTTATAATTTCATAATATGTAAATATTTTGGAAATTGCTAAAAAATCGTGCGATCACATTTTAGGAACCATTACACGTTTGCGTGCCAGTTCGACTCTAGGCGGCTACACTCACGTAGTATGTAGTGCTACAGGCATTGTCGTATATTAATATATCATGGGGATAATACTTGCATTATTTTTTTATCATGCAGGGCACGTAATTTTTTCTTCATGCAAAAATGAGTATTTTGATTCTAAATTATTCTGTATAGGACATATTTTTGTTGCTATATTAGTATATTTTAAATATTTTTGCTAAACGCATTAGTGTGTTAATATTATAAGAATAATATTGTTTATTAAAAAATATGCAGTTACTTTAAGGAGTTGTGGTAGTTATTGTCAAATAAGTTTTATATTGTTAACCATTTCTCCATTTTCTATAATTTAATTATATTATTTCAATTTATAAATTAACTTTTATATTACTCAATACTTTAGCATGATTTATATTTAGAGTAGGCCTATTAAAAAGCCATAAAAAATATTTAGTGCTTTCCTATCCCTGATATACGTCGTCCGTTCTTTTCATTGATCGTCCGAGCACCAATCGGCGTTGCGGCCCTCATCGTGTCCTCATTCGTGAGCCTTCGTAGCGCGTGTACAAGGGATGTAACTGTAAACAAGATCAGAGTCAGTTAAATTTCAAACTAACTTTATTTTGGTATTTTATTTTCAAAATGGACACCCTGAAATATGCAATTTTGAACACTATTTTTTCCAAACGATACTTGTCAATGCAGAAAAATTTTGAAAGCCGGCAAACACAGTTAACTGTTTAAGTTGCACCACTGCTTAGGTT